TATATACAAGTATGACCAAATATTTGACCAATTTTCGACCGATTTCGGTCGGAAATTTGGAAAAGTTTTAATAAATAATTATTTGTGTACAGTATATACAAGTATGACTNATAAAAGCGTTTTTCCGACCGAATTCGGTCGGAAAATTCGGTCGGAAATATTGAATTATAATTATTTCGGTTGGTTAATTAAATATATATAATTTTTGTCTTGGGCGGGAAACAAAAAGTTCAAACTTTTCGACCGAAATCGGTCAAAAATTCTGAAATTTTTTAATATATAATTATTTTTGTATATTATATACAAGTATGACCAAATATTTGACCAATTTTCGACCGATTTCGGTCGGAAATTTGGAAAAGTTTTAATAAATAATTATTTGTGTACAGTATATACAAGTATGACTAAATATTTGACCAATTTCCGACCGAAATCGGTCGGAATTTTTATTTTTTTGCTGTCAGAAAATTTTCGTTGACTTTTGCGACCAAATACTCTTATTTCCGACCGATTTCGGTCGGTTTTTTTTCCGACCGATTCGGTCGGAAAGCCTTGGACGGAAATCACCCGATTTCTAGTAGTGAACGTTAGTTTTCTTCCTTCTCGAATCTAAAATATTTGAGATTATACACAATTAGGTTACTTATAAGATATTTACATATATACAAATTTTTAGGATAGGTGTGATTGGCAACCTCGTGAAAATGACAATTACCCTACTATTACGGGTTAACTACACTAATATAGTACAAAAAATTTATACCGTCAATGCATATAATTAAATCCTTTGGTCTTCTACATGTATATCAAAGCAAGTTTATTTTGGTAAAGCTGAAGAATTACCGATCTCAGTGTTATTTTCAATCCTGTTGGGGATGATCTTTTTAGGCTTCCAAGCACTGGTATAATCCAATCATTTCCTACTTTGCTTGCTTCAAATTCCTGAAAATGAAATAAGCATCAACTAATTAATGAGATCACTATGGTTTAAATTAAACAGTGTAAAATTATTTCACTATCAGTGTATATAACTTAAATCGTTTGGTCATCACAAGGCACATAACTCAGAGTAAGTTTATATATATTTTGGTAAGGCTGAAGAGTTATCTTACAAGTGATTTCACAATCTCCTCCATGGAATCCTTGGAAAAGCACTCATTGATTATGGAAAGCCTAAATATATATATATATATAATGCATCATATCCTCAAAAAGATTATTATTATATAAATAAAGATTGCATTAATTAATATAAATGTGTTACTTGTTCAAGATACTTCTTTCATCTATCTCAACTTCTGTTGAGAATTTTTGAATGGCTGATCTGATAGCCTTCTCTTCTCCAGTTCTTAAGCTCAACAAGCTCTTCTCCAAGTAAACCAATTTCTAACATTCATAGAACAGAAAATACATAAAGATGACGAAGAAATTAAATTATTATAAAATATTTATGTTCTTTGTACCGACTATCAGGTAAAGTTGACCTGCACAACGCGTGTAACTTTTCATAGCCTAATATGCATGATGACCTAAAAAATGGCAGTATGATCCACGAAGTATCCTGCAGGATACATACGGGAAAGAGCCGGTCTATTCTAATGCAAGCATTAGTGGTTGATTCCACAGCTCGAACCTGTGACCGATATGTCATACGGAGACAACTTTACCGTTGCTCCAAGGCTTCCCTTCTCAAACGCTAAATGACACTGATAGTGTAAAAATTCTTTACACTCTTAGTGTATATAACTTCCATGTATACTCAAAGAAGGAACAAAAAGTACAATCTTCATATACTACAAAGTCAAGGCTAACAAACATCTCTATTTTGATTATCTTATGCTATCAATTGAAACTAGAAAAGAAAAAGTTCAGAGAAAAATGAAGCTTGAACTGACATCAGAAGGAACAAAATGAGTGGCAAGTCCAGCAGCAACCACTTCTTTACCCTTCAGCTTTGCCCCTGTTAAGCCCAAGTATTCTCCTACATATACAAAATATCAGTTGAATATATCAACCTTTTCCTCTTAGTTCATCATAGAAGAAACGCAAAAAGGTCAAAAACACTCTCCTATTATACAAATATCTTAATTTTATCCTCGTTATATTTTAGGTTCATTCATACCTTTGGTATTAGCAAATCATCTCATATTTTCTCTTATAGCTTAAGGGGTCGTTTGGTTGGAAAACAAGTTATCCCAAAATTAATTATTTCGGGATTATTATTTATCCTTCCCGTAGGAATAAAAATAACACTACAATCCAGGTATAATACCGCGATTTTATCCCAACCAAATATGAAATAAACTCATCTCAAATTTAATCTCGAGATTAATTATCCCTTATCTCTCGTACCAAACGAGCCCTAACCGTGTTCCTACGTGAAGTATATATAACTGGAGGTAATTTTAAACTATAGTCAAAAGTAAATGGGCAAATTTATTTGGACCTTTTTCCAGAGTACTTTGACACGTGAAATTCATCTATCTAGTCCATCTTGGTCCTCCGTTAAAGTCAAGGACAAATACAAGATAATTTACTAACTTCAAGTGAATGAATAACTCTAAGTTTTTCATATAGTAGATAGGTAAACTTGGACCTTTTTTTAAGNATATATATATGCGCTCGCTCGCACATGTCCACTGATATTTGAATGCTTACCAAGTCTACCAGGAAGCCGTGAAAGCATATATGAGAAGCCACAGTCAGGATGGAATCCTAATCTTGTTTCAGGAGTCGAAAAATACTATAATACCAATGAAATAATTGTTAGATATATATTATGATATATCTTCTCTTACATATGAGATTTAAGTCAGAATTATATTGCATGTAATGGAGATGTATATGTGTATACTAACAGATTTTTCAGTGACAACAGAGAAATTCATTGGCACCATTAAAGATTCACCTCCCCCCAACAAGAGCAACCTGTCAAGTATATTATCAACAGTAATTAAAAAGGGTAAATTCTCTATGACCGGGTTAATTTTACGTATGATTATTCAACTTTATTTATTTATAATAATAAAGTGATAAAATTGTATGACCATTCCATTTGTTACGTTAAAATAACTGAACTTTATTTACTATTAGTAAACTCAACAAATCTTACCAAGTAATACTAAAGTCAAAACTATGTTTTCTCAAATTAAAGTTACTGGATTTTTTCTACCAATAAATTCGCTAAACTTTATCCAATAACTATATATGACAGTCTGTCAACAAACCTATATATCCATCAAGGTAACATTATTGTTGTAGAGGATAAAATTACTTTGATGTGACAAACATAATTTTCTGACCTTACAATTATAATGGGTAATGTATTTGACGTGACAAGTAATAATTTTGTGACTCTACTATTATAATGGATAATGTTTAATTACTTTAATGTGACAGAAATTATTTTACGACTTTACTATTATGATGAATAAAGACCAATAATCATACGTGATATTAACCTAATCTATGATCTCTCCTTTTGTTTTTGTTCATATCATATAGTACTAATTAATGAATTGTAGAGGAGCATCACACAACTTGTACCTGTGGTTTCTTATATGTATGAATGTGGTAGCAAAGCCAATACATTCTATAAACAACTTCAACGCAAGAATCCCCTAAGAAGTACAGGCAGCCAAATAGCCAATGTCAATCATTTAATAGTTTTAGAGTATACAACTAAACATATTTTGTCACCCCAAAAATTGAAAAAAAGAAGACAGTTACTTGTCTTTCTGCCATCATAGAACATTCTCAAGTCCCCACCAGCAGAAAACGCTCGGCCAGCTCCCTATTTTGCATTACATACAACCCAATATCAAAAAGAAGAATTAAACCGAAGAACCGCCCAACTAATCTCTCAAACTAAAAGTAACTATAGTTCATGTATAATTTATCTATATCTATATTTTTAAAAACACGAATACCTTTGGCAAAATATCGTTCGCCCTTTTTACCTTTCTAAAATAGATTTCACATTGGACAAATATGTAATTTAAGTTATTTTCCTAACATGAAGGACTTTAAGATCATCTAAAATTTGGTTATTAAAATCTTTCCTTATTGAATTAGGTAGAAAGGTCCTAATATTAAGGACTTTAAAGTCATAAATTATTTCTCTATTTGAATAATGTAATATAAATATAATACTTTACATGTTAATTTTTGAATTTTAAAATCAACTTATAGGCAAATTATTAAAGTTTGTAAGAGATCGAGAAGATTCAACACCAAACTAACGCGAGTCTGTACCATTAGTATCATATTTTGATACATAAATAGTTAATCAAGACGTCTGAGCCAAAAACAGATATTTTTAAATATTTAAGTATATTTTATATATGCATATTATATGGTGAGAAAGATAACATAAATGTGTTTCACTTGATTTGTTATTGAATTGGTTAAATCACCTTTTGAACATTTAATAAGTAAAATATTAGTTGATTTTAAAGTTCTAAATACTATAAAAATAATAAAATATAATTTTATTCAATGGTAAAATGTATTTTTAAAGGTGAAGATGGATCAACATGTCAACTGTAATACATCCAAGGTAATTTTTTTAATATTTAATATTTCAAAATTAACTGAAAAATTATTTACTAAATGCTTATTTATTTGAAGTAGGTAGGAAGTCTTTAAAATCAATTAAGAATTCAATTATCATATCTAAATCATTTCATTATTTGAACCGCGTTGCATAACAACTTCAGAAACATATAGGGCAAACATTTTCATACACAAATCTCTAAATGACCAAAGGATTTAATTTTTAATTTGTGTTACTTGACAAATCTTTAAAGAAGCGTGATTAAATTATTTTTATATTTTATTTTCAGTATTAGGTCGCGAAAATAATAACAGTTTTCATGAAATATTTTAAATAAGTCCTCATAAATCACAATAAGTTATCTTAACTTCGGAGAAAAATGACTTCTTCATATATTGAACTTGCTAAATAAGAACAACGTTCATCGTTTTCAGGAATTTCTTTAATTTTTGTTATATATTTTTAAGTAACTCAAGTACATTATCTAATAACATTTAGATAATGTTATCAGATAACTTAAATACATATTTCATAATAAAAAAAAACTTGTGTGCTCAGTAATATGGGTACCCGTGCAAAGCGCATTCTCTAAGACTAGTATATATATAACTATGTACAATTAATATACAATCTATGTATACCGGCTAGAAAAGTAAACATTAAATATGACTGACTATTTGTGTAACAATTCCTATCAAAAATAGGTTAAGTTTGACAAACAGTTCCGAAATTTCAAACTCCTTTGTCGACAAATAACTTGAAATTTAAATGAAGAAGGGTAGAGGAGTGAACTCATTACAAATCGAGTTTTAAAACGTGAGTCACTAACCTCTGATTGATTATTAAAAAAAACATAGTTAAAAAAAAAGATACTTACCTTGATGATAACAAGTTGTGCATTGTCATCTTTCTCAAATTTCTCGAGTTTTTGACCTAGAACCAATGGCTTGTACACGGAAATTAAAATGTGTTTTTGTTAATTGGGAAGAGGCCATTTAAAACAATTCTTGAATTGAATAATCAGATTTAATTTCCTTCTGGCTATTTTGTAAAACATACCTCTTTTGTAGAGATGACATTTAACCGGTTAGAACGATTTAAAGTGAGAACTCTAACACGACCAATTTCCTCCAGAAATAACAACCTGGTAAAAAGTTACTTGTCTTGAGTCATGATATAAGTTGAATCTTTACGATAGTGCACACGAACATCTTAGATATATTTCACCTATGGTCACCCAATTTTGTTCACTAATAAACTTACTAGAAACTAACTTTTTATCACGTTAAAGTAATAAAATTTTGGCACGATGATGGTATGAGTTAATTAAGCTTAAAGAAAGAAGTGAGAATTCATATCGACCGATCCCAACTTTATTTGGGATTGAGGCGCAACTGTTATTGATGTAAAGTAATATATTTTTATCTGTATTACAAAATTATTTTTTGTCTGTTGAAGTATGATCTCATTTAAAAGGTTAAGCTGTTAAAGAAAATACATAATTATTTACTTAATTATATTTTCAACATACCAGGGTGATGAGATAAATATTGTTGTCCCTCGTTGATTGTGAAAGGCTTTTCAAAGGGGTTTATTCATAATGTCTTAGACCACTTCATCTATAACCCTAGAATTAGGTTACACCTGCCGGAGGGTGTTAGAGAAATACATTTATCCCTCATTAGTTATAAAAAGATTTCCAAAAGAGTAATATCTTAGATCACTACAACTAATGTTTTAGGATTTTGAACTGAATGCTCAAATTTCACACACATAAAAGATTACCTCTTGATCTGGTTTTAGCATTGCTTGAGCCATGGGATACTTAACTGCAGAGAATATCATTTGCTGGCTCAAATGAGAACTTCGAAATTGGCTGGTAAAACAAAGAAGAAAATGCACAAGAAAAGAAGAAGAAGATGTATAATATAGTAAAGGGAATATTTCAGCTGAATTTCTTATGCACAAAGAAGAGGACCTTAATCCTTATATATATGCGTTTGAAATATCAATAAAATCCTGGTAGCCATGTGCAACTTACATATTGTTTATTAATATAAATAAAATAATACTCATCTCATTCAGAATAATGTTTGACTAGACACAAAGTTTAAGAAATAAAGACTTTTAAAATCTGTAATATAAAATAAATATTAAATATTTGTGTGACTATAAAATCATATCTTTAAGAGTAAAATAAAAAATTTAAAGTTAAATTACTTTTAAATAAGAAAATATGATTGTTTTTTGGATAAACCAAAAATGAAAGTATGTCTTAGAGGAGTAAACCAACTTGACGAGAACAAACAAAATCTCGTAAAATTCATGTCCACATGTACATATTATGTTGTGCCGAACATTATTATATTATTGCTGTTGATTACAATCATATAGTATAATGTAATCTTTGAGATTTTGCCTTGCCAAATCCGGCGGATCGTGATAAAGTTTAGCTATTATTATTGGGGCCGTATTATCACTTTGAACCATTTTATATATTTTTTCGGTTATTATTTTTATATCGGCTATACAATATCATTTTTTCATCATTATTTACTTATAGTGATACTAGTGATGGTTAGCTCGGCTACGCACGGGCCCAATCTCGGATGATTGACCCTGTCTTTGCAAATTTAGATATGATTAATTAATTTAATAATTTGATTATGATCATTAGGGAACTCAAGATAATGTCCATTTTGTTATATTTTCAGTTTCTTTCTGAAAAAAGTATCTTGATGACATTTGTATAAGTTCAAAAGTTATTCACTCGTTACCAAGCTTAATATTACCTTTCTAAATGTTAGGTTGTTATTTTTAAATTATAAATTTTAATTTGATTTCTGTGTATTCATAAGTTAACATAGTATACTACATGATATAACAAACATTAATTATTTTAATAATTGTAATTATATTTCATGTTTTTTTAATATAAAAAATTTAAAAACTATCCGACCTTTTTTTAATTAAATTTACAAACCTTTTCAATATCTTTAGAAAGAAAAGGGAAAAACATTATAAACTTGTTTTCCAACACTTAGCAAAGTCATGAAAAAAGTGGTCAGCACTTGTAGTGCAAAAAACTTGTTTCCAAATTAAAAATTATTGGGAACTTGAATAAAGATAAAAGCAAAGATTACTTTGTTATTCAAGTTGAAGATGTAGAGTTTGTGGTTCATATGCTTTATGGGTTTACTAACATGCATTTGTTTTTCAAATTAACCATAGGCAAGAGCAGCAATCTTAACTTTAAGAACAATGGTTAAAATACAAGATTAAAAAACAAAAAACATTTTCTTCAACTTTGCAATACAGATGAGCTATCATTTTATAACACTTTGAATAGTTTTAAAAAATTTATAACGTAAGATTTAAAATTACTTGAATTACATTTGTTAAAAGAAAAAAAAATTATAATTTGCATAAACTACCAAAACAACTTATGTAAGCTTTTCCTTGGAATTCATTTTAGTCCTAAAATAGAACACATAGTCAAGAAAATCAAACGAGAGCTCGAGAGATGTGTGAGAAATGGTAAACTCAAATTTCTGCAATTATTTTACTCCTTTTGTGGGTGTATGAGTATTTCTTAATTCTTACCCCTTCAACGCACAACTAAAAATTATGACTACTAAAGAAATACAAAAGGAGAACTATTTTCCTAATTAATTAGAAATTCAATGATGAGTTACGTAGCAATTAGATCTGGTGTTGTGGGTCTCAGGTGTCATAATGTCTATTTAATATTGCTGCCAGATTTAGGTAACAATCAGTTCTTTCTTAAACATAATAATAATAATAATAATAATAATATAATAATAATAATAATAATAATATACTAACAAGAAGCTCTTTCTTAAACAGTCATAACTATCAGTGGTGTGGCTTTTCTACACGTGGTCCCTGATAGTTATTAAGTCAATATCCCATATCAGGTGGGATTAAATGGAGAAACTTTTAATATTTCTATTGACTCAGCAAAAGAGTCCAACTTTTACTACGCATTATACAACACCCTTAAGCATATTGGGAACATAATTTTAAGGCCAAATACTTATACGGCCCCTTAAACTTGGTTCCAGTTTTTATTTAGACACTTTAACTATGTCAAATACCTATTGAACACTCCAACTTAATTTCAAGTGTACCTATTAAACACTTCATGTGATGTGGCATAATGTGTGATTTTCACTCAAAGTTGGGCGCGTGAATAAAAAATATAACATTTGTTTTTTTTCCAAACATTTTTTTAATTCTTTGTCTTTCTCCTTCATTGTCTCTATCACTAATATCCCTCTAGATTTTCCTTTTCCTAATTTCTTCTCAGGATCTACTTACGGATTCATCCCATTTTGAACATTGATTAACTTGTTATTTCACTTCAAATTCGATAAACTTACATGCCAAAGACGAAGTGTAAACCTAAAATTGATTTATCAAGAGAGACCGAAAAAAACCTTGAAATCCAGAAAAGAATAAAAATCCAGCAATTTCGGATAGATACCACGAGAGAAACCCAACAATTTCAGAAATCAACAGATAGAAATCCATCAAGAAAAATCCAGCAATTTCGGATAGATACCACGAGAGAAACCCAACAATTTCAGAAATCAACAGATAGAAATCCATCAAGAAAAATCCAGCAATTTCAGATAATAACCAAGCAAAATTGACTAGCTTAATTTGCAAAGAGAATCCAACAAGAAAAGCACAACAATGTCAAATATCAGCCAAGCAAACCCAACAAGACAAAGTAGCAATTTCAGACATCAACCAAGCGAATTCGATTTTGCTGAGAGAAATTCAGCAATTTCAGAGATTAAACATGAAAAATTGACTTTATTTTGTAGCTACATACATGGAGATTAACCCAACGATTTCACCGGCATCGACTTTTCCGTTAGATGTTAGAATTTAACGCCAAGTAGCGAAGTTACAAACATGATAAATTTTCAACCAAGAAACAATAATATGCTTTTTGTTTGGACATAGCGAAAGAGAGGGATCGATAGATAAGAGGAGGAAAGACATGAATGGAACTACAAGAAAGAGATAGCTTTAGAAAAAGAGGGGGGGGGGGG